CAATACTTGCTCTCGAAATCAGATTCCTTAAAATATAAATATATATGTTGGAATGTATTGCGATTTATGCTAAACCTGGTGGTGTAGTTGATCACAGTTTGAGAGTATGCTCTGAGTTGCAATGGTGGCTTGTTATGGATGCGATTGCGACAATACAGTTGAGGGTGGTATGAAAGTTGGCACTTCAATGGGTCTCAATTGTGTGGGGATTAATTTAATCACTGATGATAATTATGTTATTGTTCTATCTACAAAGAATGTGTTACAGTTCTATGTGTGCCAGTAATCGCTTAGATCTGGCTAGTGGGTTGACCACTCTTTTACTTCACTCCCATGTTCTATCACGTGAGGTAGTATAACTGCTCACCACGAAGTCCGCAGATTTGAACAGCGTTAGATCACAACACTTCCCCTCGCTTTGCACATCTGATATGATCTGAAAGTCGGTGATGTATAGATTTAACGAGAGACTTGGTGAGTAGATCGGCAAGGTTATTAGCTGATTTCACGTGGAGAAGTTCAAATTCTCCTTCGTTAAACTTCTCACGAACGTAATGATAATGTACGTCGATATGTTTTGAACGACCGTGAATCCGCGGGTTTCTTGCAAGTTCTTGGGCTCCATTGTTATCAGTGTAGAGCATTGTGTCATACTCTTGGCGCAGTTGTTTTAACCCAAATTTTGTCCAGGTAGTCTGGCGTGCAGCTAGTGACATGGCCATATATTCGGCTTCTGTAGTTGATAATGCCACAGATCGCTGTTGTTTGCTGCTCCATGATATTGCAGCATTGCCTAGGCGAATTACATATCCTGATGTGGATCTTCGAGTATGAGGATCGTCAGCATAGGATGCGTCGGCATACACCTCGAGTACCCTGCTGGTTCCATGCGGGTAAAACAAATCCCAATCGGTTGTTCCAGCTAGATATCGAAGAGTTCGTTTGGCGGCTCGCAAATGACTTTCGTTTGGGCAAGATGAAAACTGGCTTAAGAGTGTGACAGTGTAGGCTAGATCAGGGCGACTCCCTATGACAAGATACATAAGGGATCCAACTATGGCTTGATATTCTTTTATATTTCCGAGACGTTCCTCTTCAGTGCCTTTGAAAAGGGTGACGTTTGGATCGAGAGGAGTACTTACTTTGTGAGCAAGTGTAAGGCCAAAGCGTTCTAGAATCTTCTTTGAGTAACCTTGTTGAGAGAGTCGGATACCTGTTTTTTCTAGTTTAATCTGTAGTCCAAGGATATAATGAGCATTTCCTAAGTCCTTGCAATCAAAATCTTTTCCGATACATGACTTGAGGTTTTGGCTAAATTTATTATCTGAACAAAAGATTAGTATGTCGTCAACGTATATCGCTACAAAGGCGTTTTCTGTTGGATGAACGAAGACGCATGGGTCGAAATCTGCTATTTCGAATCCTTTTTGTTGAAGTGATGTCGATATGCAGGCGTACCATTCACGGCCTGATTGTTTTAGACCGTAGATACATTTACGGAGTGCAGCACATTTTCCAGATTTTCGGTATCCCGGTGGAAGTTCCATGAATATTTCTTCCTTTAAAGAACCGTATAAGTAGGCCGAGTTTACGTCCATTTGTTGTGGTATCCATTTATTTTGGGCAGCGATGCGAATTAACATGCGAAGGCTTTCGTATCGAGCAACAGGGGCAAAGGTTTCATCAAAATCATAACCAGGAATTTGACTGAATCCTTGAGCTACTAGACGTGCTTTGTACCTGTCAATTGAACCATCAGCATGTCGCTTTATTTTAAATACCCATTTAGATCCAACAACATTGCGCTGTGACGGCCGGGCAGTTTCATCCCAGGTGTGCTTTTGTTCTAAGGAGTTAATTTCCTGATCGATCGCTTCACGCCAGTGGTTTGCATCAGACCTTTCGAGTGCCTCCTCGATTGTTGTTGGTTCCTCATTTGTTTCCGGTGCAGTTTGTGCTGCAAGAGCTACAGCATTATATTCAATTTCATCCTGAACATTTTCTACATGCACTAGCTGTCCATGCTCCAAGTCATGTTGTTCCCTCGAGCGTAGCTCAGGGCCATGAAATATAGGTGAACCGTATCTTTGAATAGGCTTTGATGACCTTTTGGGTCGACTATGTACTGATACTTGGTTTTCGCTAATTTCGGAGGTTTGGGGTTGTGCTTTTGTGTGCGTTTGTAATAGTGATTGTCCATGATGATCATGTATTTGCAGCAGATTGGATTGTAATGATCTTGAGGGATTTTCGAGGTTGGATGCTGTGTCTGAAGCTTCTGGTTGGTTTTCGCAAGATATTATTTCCTCCGGGGATATTTCTGTTTCTGCCACTATTGTCTGAAAATTGTTGCTTCGAGTATCAAGGGCGTTTCTTATATTTGCTTCCCCTGAATCGAGCGGCGCAAATTTGACGTTGGGAGATTCGATTACTTTATTTTTTGAAGGGATCCATATCCGAAATATTTTTGTGCTTTCCGTGTATCCCACAAATTTGCCTTCCATAGCTCTTGGTAGTAGCTTTGTTCCTGCGGGTCGCGAGTCCTTGTGAATATGAACAAAGCAGTTTTTGCCAAAAGATTGGAGATGGTGTATTGTGGGTTTAGTGCCAAGTAAGGCCTCATATGGCGTAGTGTTGGGAGGTAGCCGTGAATGAGGAAGGCGATTTTTGAGGTAGCAGGCGGCTGAGATTGCTTCTGCCCACAGCGTGGTGTTAAATCCAATTAACATTGCTCTAGCCATAGTGGTTAATGTTTGATTGTAACGTTCAGCTAATCCATTTCTCTCATGCTCATAGGCTGGCGACATTTCATGTACTATACCTTCATAATTAAAAAGAGAGTTGACGGCTTGATTGACGAATTCTCCTCCACGATCAGTTCTCCAACGTTTGATACTGGTACCGAATTGTGTTTTAACAAAGCGAATAAAATCGAGCATTGTTTGTGCGGTATCATTTTTTCTTCGTAGGAACTTGACCCAGGAGTATCGTGTTTTTCCATCAATAAAGGTAATATAGTATAGGCTTTGGCCAAGTGATGGTACAGAGAATTTTCCGGATAGATCTGAGTAGATAATATCAAATTTACTGGCTGGGATTTCATGGGTTGATTTTGGTACAATGTGTTTAGATTTAGCTTTCTCACATGTTGGACAGTAGAAGTTTGCAGGCGGTAAGGGAAGGTTGTTGCAATTTTTGTACAGTTCAGAAGAGTTTTTAATGGCCGTAGTGCTTGGATGCCCCAGCGCTTCATGGAGATTAAGATAAGTGGCAAAATTTGCATTATATTTCTTCGTCTGTATATAATATGCTTTGTTTCCCGACTTAGCCCACAATACTTCATGCCCAAAAGAATCAATTAAAAAAAATATTATCTTTTTCTCCTCTCAGTTTGTATCCTTGCTCCCTTGCTTTATCCCATGAATAAAGTCTCGTCGTTTGAAATGATGGTACCAGCATGACATCGTGGAGGACAGTATTTAAAACTTCTCCCGTACTTGTCAAAAGGTTTAACCTTACCGTGCCTTTCCCAGTTATGGGGACGTATGTGTTGTTGGCGATTTTGACACTTTGACCTTGAACTTGAGTGAGACTTTCAAAATCGCTTTCACATCCAGTCATGTGTGTTGAAGCACCAGTATCAAAGATCCACTTTGTTGAAGTGACAGTCGAAGAATTAGAAATAAGTGCATGGTCTGAGAATTCACTTTCATGAGCTGCAGCACCCGCAATTTCGGTTGGTTTTGGTATTCTTCGCTGGTTTTTCTTTTCCTGGTGTTTTTTCAACTTTTGGCAGCTGGTGTATAGGTGACCCTGGTATTTCATCTTTTTGGATTTGCACCAAGAACATTCTTTTTCGTCTTTCTCTGTAGATTTATAGGCTGTATTATCTATTGAATAATTAGTTGTACTGCCTGTGAGATCTAAGAGCCTAGATTGGACGTCTTCAAAGCTTGTGAGCTCTTTGGTGGCAAGATTATCGACGAGATTATCCATGGTTTTTGGCAATGAACATAAAAGAAATGCACCTTTTATTTCATCATCGGAGGTGAGCGTTCGGAGGGTTCGGCCTAAAGACGACTTCGTTGTTTGCGAGCGTTGTTTTAGGCGATTCCAGGAGGATGTAAATTTCGAAAGGTGATCAGGGATGCTTTCCCCATCGTTTAAAGAGAGATTGATAAAGTATTTTAAAAGTGATATCGTTGTGTTTGTCGTGTCGCGATCATAACGAGCCTTGAACAGGTTCCATGCTTCGTGAGCTGTGTGGCTGTCAATCACCACTGTTTGTAGATCTTCATCTACAGCATTCAAGAGTATTTTGCGCAGTTTAACATTTTGTCGCTTCCATTGTCTCCATCCATCTGAATCTTTAGTCTCCGGTTCTGTGATCTCCCCCGTTATGAGTCCGAATAATTCGCTGTCTTCCAACACAATTTCCCAAGCTCCTGCCCATCTGCGGTAGTTTTCGCTTCCGGTGAGAATAGGCATCCGTTTAAGGCTGGCTTGGATTGTTGATGCAGCTGGGTTCGACTTGGGTTTGACATCATCGGACGAGGTAGACATTTTGTTAGAGAACTGAAGTTTAGATGGAAGGGTAAATACAATAGAGGATAAATGTTGACTTGAGCTTCCGGGCTATAACCTATTGCGATTTATGCTAAACCTGGTGGTGTAGTTGATCACAGTTTGAGAGTATGCTCTGAGTTGCAATGGTGGCTTGTTATGGATGCGATTGCGACAATACAGTTGAGGGTGGTATGAAAGTTGGCACTTCAATGGGTCTCAATTGTGTGGGGATTAATTTAATCACTGATGATAATTATGTTATTGTTCTATCTACAAAGAATGTGTTACAGTTCTATGTGTGCCAGTAATCGCTTAGATCTGGCTAGTGGGTTGACCACTCTTTTACTTCACTCCCATGTTCTATCACGTGAGGTAGTATAACTGCTCACCACGAAGTCCGCAGATTTGAACAGCGTTAGATCACAACAGAATGTATGTCTATTATTAGGCGCTTAGTGCGGTGCATCTCTCTGTTGCTGAGCCTTGTCTTGATGACTCAGCCAATACCGCGAACTGGACGTTTGCAGTGTTCATAGATAGAAACAATTACAACAAGAATCCAAACCTCACTTTCGTACCTTTTGTTTTGCATTGAACTAACCTTACGTATACGTAAAATAAGGCCATTCGACAATATTTATGATTTATTGTGTGTATTATGAGTACAACTATTGTTGCTTATTTACTTGTTATTACTATTATCTACACACTTCACAATTACGGAAAGTGTGGAATACTAAGCGAGACACGTGATACAATTACAGATTTATTGCATGACTTTTGACAAGAACTATGTCACAATTCTTCTAAAACTAAGCACATTGATGTTGCTTATCACTTTGTCAGGGAATTTATTCTCAATGGACACATAAAGGTGTCTTACCTACTTAAAACCTCTATATTGGTAGATATTACAACTTAACCTCTTTTGCAGCAAATAGCTAAACCGCAAATTGAAAGGACTTTTCAGATGGTATACCATCCTTGCATCCACCGCATTGATCAGGAGGAGTGTTGGAAATACAGCTTCCTGCATTTCTTTCTATCACTCAATGTGGTTGCATGCATCTTGCCTGAGCTGTATTTCTGAGTTCAGGCAGGAGCCCATACTTCTGATCCAATCAGACTCAACATATGAGTCTGCTTAAATCCCATTCTTCCCGAACAAATCTAGTCAATGGTTGGTTCGTATTTTCAATTGCATGATCCAGTATTCCGAGTCAGTGGATAACTCTTTTCTGGTCTGGGAACTCACTTATTTCTGCAGTCGAGTCGGTACAGGATAACCTTTTTTCCTTGTAACTTCACTGTAAATATCTTAATACCAGTAGTCTGCTGGTCAATCAAGCAAACTGAACTTCTTCGTTCTCAGGAAATTCTATCAAATTATGGATTAAAATTTTTAAAAAAAGGGTATATATAAACATTTATATATATATCAAAGGGCTTGTATCTCACTGTCTATGAGAGCAAAGTTAGAAACTATACAATTTGAATATGAAAATATAGCTAGTATCTCATGTAGATTCTAGGAGTCCTCCATAGTCATGGACTCAGCTAGGACTATAATAAAATATAATCTATCAAACTATGGATAGTTTGGAGCGATCAATGTTAGATATTGAGCTGTAGGTGTTAGGTTTACAAAGCTTGGAGTTACTTTCTCGGACAGAGGTGTTTTGCTTGGGTTATAACAATAAGAACCCTATATCTTCTGAATAGAGATGTTTCGTTCTAAACCATGAGAAACTTGGCTCATGGGGACAAGTTGGGGATAGATAGAGCATTGCGATTTTCTGAAAATACACAATCTAGATAGTAACAGAAAGAGAGGGCAGCCAGGAATTAATTCACACTCTTTACATTTTATATAATTCAATTGACTTGTAGAGTCTAACAAATTCTTACTCTAAAGTTCTTTCTATACTCTAACAGATGACAAATGGAATGGTCCTTGCAAATCACTTAAAGTGTATTATGGCACTGTTGCTGTTGAAATTTCGAAACATATTCACATCAATAATTATTTCCATACTTTGTTAGTCTGACCATGGACAGATCCTGTGATCACCGTTCAGTTGAGTTTCAACAAAAGAAAATACGGTGCCATTGCGAGGTGTGTCGGTCAAAGATATGAAGATGGTAATATTGCTGATAAATAAATCTTTGAAAAGATAGGTGACGTACATGACAGAGATGTTGTGATCAGGCCCACTTATAGATCACACAACTTGAAATGGCTAGTAATAGACAAGTGTTACCGACAGGACAAGCGACCCGGTGTTAATGATACATCATTGGCACACAGCAATGACAACACCAGTATCTCAACCAGACATGATAATATAATACTATGGCGCAGGTACATCTAATGAGATAATTGTTGAATGGCTGAATGGTTGGGAGTTATTGCTATTCATGGTATATTTTTTGTACTGTCTTTGTGTTGGACTATTTTGGAAATGGGAGTAGAAGGTAACAAATCATCGAAGGGGTTGTCTCTCTATTCTCTGGCTATCAAGTATCTTAAATACATAATTTTCTTCATATGAAACCCTACTAGATAACTCGCTGGCAATAATGCTACCACCGAAACATACCAAACCGTGCTCTGGACAGATAAGATGAGAATATCATCGGAAACATAAATTTAAACCCAATTCAAAGTATGAGTTATGTAAAATCCGAACAAAAAGATATTTTCCTTGATACGCATCACGTATCAGCATTAACTTCTCCGACCCGAGTCATGTTATGAGTAAATTCAGGTAAACCTAAAATAACCGTAGCGCAACACTTTGTGTATATATATATATATATTTTTTGCATATCTTTGTGTATAATTACTCGCTGCTAGACTTCTGTACATGATTAACCTTTTCCGCTCTTATTTTCAATAGTCATCAATATAGCAGATCTACAATATATATCTGTCTTCTTCACGTTAGGCCTAAAGCACTATCCTATATCCACCCAAGTTGACTGTTACACCCATTGTGACAATTCTTAGACTTCTCATAATATTGTTATTACAATAAAAGATTGCCAGCAAAGGCAAATTCTTCAATTTCCAGTGGTGCCAGTAGTACCGCTTAGTATTCTCTGCATATTTGGGATAACCAAGCAGAATTGCATTCGAACCAAAGTCGAATGCAACATTAAGCATATCTAAAATCGATGACTTCTATTCAATGTTTGACCTATCATTCCCACGCAAGTTCTCTACTCCAATCTTACCCCACCACGTCGTCTCAAATACCAATAATGGTGTTACTCCAATTGCAATCGGGCATTTGCCTCATCAAAAACCAGCCATCTCCCACTACACATTTACGACGCTATGTATACCTGCGAGGAGGAAACTAAGTCATAATCTACAAAGCTCGGGTCTTTGTCTATGGGGAACCGTTGCTCTAATGGGGCTTCACATCTTGAGGGAGGAGAGGCAGCTGAGATGTGGGACTGTGACGGAAACCGAGTTGGTGATGAATAAATCGATTTATTAAACTATATGAAGAGAATAGAAATCCCTAGCTACTACTAACTGGTACTTTGAACGTTTGGTCCGCTTCGTGAATCTGCTGACTGATAACTTCCCGCTAGGCCTAATACCTGCTACCGAGCCAAGTATTATCAGGAGCCACTACGCGATGATGTTGCTTCGACCTTCTGGCTAGTAGTGCCATTTCATCTCTATTTGCCCATCCTTCCTCTTTCAGTCTTATCGTAATTATTCCTAATTAAACGCTTAGATTTCCTCCTAAGCTAAAACAACGGTCAAACCGTAACAGGGACGAACTAGTGAAGAGGTCACAAATGGGTTTACAGGGACTCTCAATTTTTGAATGTTTACGACTTCTAGGTGTCAGAGGGCGCAGAGGCAACGATTTAGGATAGTGCTACCGACACTTTTAAAATAGGCAACGATGGAAGGTGTTTTGGTCCGCCTCCTGGTCGTCATCTCCACGAATTAAAGTCTGGGTAGCCTGAACACCTACTTCACTCGAGAAAGGGAGGATTGTGAGGCAATATTTTGCGCGGCGGCTATATACAAGATGACCAAGGCATGTTAGCGTTATGAATGCAAGGTTATGGGAGGTGGAATAGTTACGGGTAAATAACTGCAAGTTCACTGAGACTTGAAGATAGAGGTAGATTGTAATGAATTAGTAGACTTGCTTACCTTCATTCAGATCCAGAGAATCACTACTTTTATATACATATACCAGATTCTATGGCTTTCCATATCCCCAGTCGCTCAGTTCCATTCAGCTCTGAGTCATCTCATTCTATTCCATCCTGTTCGATTCTATCTGACTCTGGTCTGTTCTGTTTTAACCATTAGATTCTACATCTCTGTGATCCACAATAACCAGATGCAGGGGTGTTTATGTCATCGATCACAACAGTTAGGGTAACCAAAGGTTTTCCCAATCTCCCCTTTGATGGATATGAACGGTTGAGGGAAGGGTGAAAGTCCCTAGCACCAAGGTCTCGAGTGGTATCAGCAAATGCCCCCACTACATGAGTAGTCCAAATTTTCGCAATAACGAACAAGTTGGCCCACGAGGCAATGATTCAAATTACTCAACCACATCAAATTTTCACTCCCAAAGTGTCCGATTCATACCTAAGCCTCATCAAGCGTGCGGGTACGACCACGTACATCCTCATTCCAATGACCACACCTCTTGTCGACTTTCTCTGGCCTTAGCCGGTCACCAAATACACGCCCACGCCGATATTTACACCCGACGGAGGAAGCAAAGCGCGGCGCACAAATCTGGAAGACAATTCCTTGGGATGGATGTGAGAGGGATCAGGACAAGTTAAGAAGATGATGCAGAGGATTGGATACAGTCTCGACGGGCGTGGAATTTTGAATTTTGGAAAGGAGTTTTTACAAATTGAGCTTTGTGCGTGCCAAGTCTTCGGCTGCGAGAGTGCAGGCGACACTATAAAAACTGCCATGGTTGGATGGTGCCGTGGTACATTGTCTTGGCCGGTCTGCCAAGTAGAGTCTGGATAGCTTGGACACATATCCCACTTGAGACAGTAGATTGCTGGTTCGAATCCGGCAAAACACAACCACTTTTCTCGCGGCGCTGGTATGCATGGATGACGAAGGCATGCTTGGATAACTAAAGGTTTTTAAATTCCCTTTGGTGGGTACTTTCGGAGGAATGTCGACTATTTGTGTAAGCGAACATACCTCATAGTGGTATTTGCGAATGAAATCCAGGGTATGAGTGTCTCTAACTTCAAAAGAGTCGTCCAATATGTAGACATAGCACTGGTCATGTATCATAGCTCTATAGCTGAATACACATTAAATGATTTAAAAAAAAAATAGTAAGAAACCACGACAACCAGAAGCATTTACGTCACGTGAAACTGCGCAACCAGTATTGTTGACAGAAGTTCAGACAAACACTCTGTGGTAAAAATTAATCAATTGGTTGTCGTAGATATTCATATAACTGATGGTGTTCGGAGTACTAGCACATATGTAATGTGAAGAGCATGGATTTGATTA